CTCCCTCTCCCTTCATGGGGCTTGAACTAGGCCTGGGCGCTGTCCCTAATCTCTTCAGCTCTACCACCTGAGCCACCACACCACTTCCAGTTTTCTGGTGGTTAATTGGAGATAAGAGTCTCACAGACTTTCTTGCCCGGGCTGGCATTGAACCACGTCAGATCTCAGCCTCCTGAGTAGTGAGGATTACAGGTGTGAGCCACCAGTGCCTGGTTAACATTTTCTTTTTAATGAATGGAAGATAAAAGTTGTGCTGTACCTTTTAATAATTATGATGGTGATGACTGTGATTTAACTTTTTCTAAATATTCTAAATTTGAGCTTTTTAAAAAATTTCCTTCTAGATCAAAGAGAGTGCATCACAGACAAGGGATGTGCTCAAACAGCACTTTAATGACTTAAAGGGAACCCTTGGGAAGCTCCTGGATGAGCGATTGGTGACACTTTTGCAACAGGTGGACGTCATTGAACAGGAGACCATTAAACCACTGGATGACTGCCAGAAGCTCATAGAACATGGAGTTACCACTGCAGAGGACCTGGTCCGAGAAGGTGGGAGTCCAGAGAGCCTGTTAAATGTGGTTCATTCAGATTGATACGTGGCTGATGTGTCAAGATACCAGCAGGCTTCTTGACATCTATGGGGTCCCTGGGATGTTTCTATCTTGAGAGTTTATAATATGACAGATCTGAAGTATCCCATGGTAAGTATAAGTGAAGTACTGATCAGAATCATTTACAAAATAAGCAGTAAATAGGGGCTGGGAATGTGGCTTAGTGGTGAAGTGTTTGCCTAGCGTGCATGAGCCTCTGGGTTCAATTCCTCATTACCACATAAACCAAAAAAATGTGGTGCTGTGGGGCAAGTGGTAGAGTCCTAACCTTGGGCAAAAAAAGAAGCTTAAGAACAGTGCGGAAGCCCTGAGTTCAGGACCCAGGACTGGCAAAAATAAAATAAAATAAAATAAATGATTTGTCCAAATGGTTTTGTGATTCCATGTGTTTTGTGGAACAGTTTTAAGGTTATTTTGAATTTGTTCAAATATTTTTCAGTGTATGTAGTTTATAGAATTTAAATCCCCATCTCTTTGAGAATGTTAAAATGATTGGTTTATTTCTGAAACTTAGATTTGATTTTGGTTTTGGGTTTTTGGGTTTTGTTGTTTTAATTGGTACCTGTCCTGGAGCTGAAACGCAGAGCCTGGGCACTGTCTAGGAGCTTCTTTTGCCGAAGGCTTGTATTACACCTCTACTTCTGGCTTTTTCTCAACCTCCTGAATAGCTAAGATTACCAGTGTGAGATACCAGTACCTGGTGAAACTTAGATTCTTATGTTTCTATCTTGAACAAGATTTTTTGGTTAAGTCATACCGAAGTCTTGCCTTATTTTCTCCCCTGCTTCATAGGGACCTTCCTACTGCCAACATGGGTGTCTGTCAGGTTCACTAAATGAAATGGTAGCCGTTCTGTTGTTTGGGATTCATAGCCCAGTGAGAGAAGACATGCTGAGTGAGATCTGTCTGTCTAGAAAAGTACAGGGTAGTTTTCTGAAGGAATCCCATAGAGCTTGAAGTTCACCTGGACACTTAGATGGACAAGTTAAATTAGAACCTATTGTACTACCTTTTTGAAATTCAGAAAAAAATTATTAAAAGGAAAAGTTCTAGGGCCATGACTCAAGTGATACAGTGCCTGCTTAGCCAGCACAAGAGCCTGAGTTCAAACCCAGGCATACATGTATAATCTAACACTCAGGAGGGAGATATAACAAGATTCCAAGTTTTAGGTTGGCCTGGATTTCAAGTTCCAGTCCAGGCTGAGCTACAGCAAGACCTTGTCTCAAAATATAAAGAAAGTATTATGAAAACAGCCCAAGGGCTGGGAATATGGCTTAGTGGTAGAGTGCTTGCCTAGCATGCATGAAACCCTGGGTTTGATTTCTCAGCACCACATAAACAGAAAAGGCCAAAAGTGGCACTGTGGCTCAAAGTAGTAGAGTGCTGGCCTTGAGCAAAAAGAAGCTCAGGGGCAGTGCCCATGACTTGAGTTCAAGCCCCAGGACTAGCAAAAAAGAAAAAAAAAGTATTTATCCTCAACATGTTGGGGGAAAATAAAAAGAAATTTATCAAGCATACCAAAGGAAAAGAGATGGCCGTGATGCCACGAAGTGACATCAGGTTTAGAGTGAATGGCAAAATCAAGGATCCATGGAAGCCAGATGTTTGTAACTCATGCCTAAAATCCTAGCTATTCAGAAGTTTGAGATCAGAGGGTCTTGATTCCAAGCCAACCCAGGCAGGAAAATCTATGAGACTCTTTTTTAACCAGTCCTGGGGCTTGAACTCAGGGCCTGGGCACTGTCCCTGAGCTTCTTTTGCTCAAGGCTAGCACTCTACCACTTGCCACAGCTTCATGCATGCTAGGCAAATACTCTACCACTAAGCCACATTCTCAGCGCCTTTGAGACTCTTATCTCCAAGAATCTACTCAGAAAAAGCCAGAAGTAACACTGTGGCTCAGGTGGTTGAGTGCTAGCCTTGAGCAAAAGAAGCTCTGGGAAACCGGGCACCAGTGGCTCACACCTGTAATCCTAGCTACTCAGGAAGCTGAGATCTGAGAATCCGCAGTTCAAAGCCAGCCAGGGCAGGAAAGTCCGTGAGACTCTTATCTCCAATAAACCACTAGAAAACCGGAAGTGGTGCTGTGGCTCAAGTGGAGAGCACTAGCCTTGAGCTGAAGAGCACAAGGACAGCCCCCAAGCCCAGAGTTCAAGCCCCACAACCAACAGAAAAAAAAAAAAAAGCTCAGGGACAGAGCCGAGGCCCAAAGTGCAAGCCCCAGAACTGGCCAAAAAAATTTTGGGGGGATAAAATTATTGATTAGTTATGGATGATTATGTGGATATAAAATGAAGGGGAAAAGGAAGGATTTTGGATGATGAAAATGAGCTTGGTTTTGGGTGATGAGGTCAATGGTGGTGTTATTTATTGGCACAGGAGGTGAAGGAAGAATAGAGATTTTATGGGACACTTGGGCATTTCATTTTGGGTCCTGAAGGTGTCAGAGTCACAGTGGTATATGCATTCAATCCAAATCCATGTGTAAGTAAAATCATCAAGAGATACTGTATAATATGGGCAGAACTGGTGGCAGAGGGCAGAACACCAATGTATGCCAACATTTAAAGAGCACTTGAAGGGAAAAGGAGCTCAAGAAGGAAACTAAAGTCCATCCATCCCACAGAATGAGCTTGGTGGATGGCATAGGATAAAATGTATGGATAGCTCAAAAGTCTGTCACTCCAGCTGGAAGTTAATTGCCTTTTGATCTCCTTTGAATTCAGTGTTAACTTTACATAGTAATTATAATGGTCAATGAGAAGTTCCTATTTTTCACTGACAATAATAGTGCCTTTGAGAAAATTCTTTTTAGTAAGACCACAGAATATCTTTATCTGGAGGCTTTGGACTTGGAAACAAACTCAGAAACAGGCCAGCACAGGTCAGGAGTGTTCACTCATCATCCAAGGACTGTTTTCATTTTAGAAAATAAATCCTTTGGGGCAAATACATATTTGTTATAGCACTTGGTGCTTGAATTTTTTTTTATATACTTCAAAAACATTTTTAATTTCTAACTCTTCCTCCCAAGGGAATTTGGAGCATTTGGAAGCAGTATTCAATGTGTTTCTGTTTTTCTGAGTAGAATTTTTTTTTTCTTTCTGATAATACTGGTGTTTGAACTCAGGGACTCACACTGGCTTGGCAATTGCTTGCTTATCTCATACTCAACCATTTGAACCACATCTCTGGCCCTGTTTTTTGCCTTTTTTTGTCGGTAATGAGGTCTGAACTCTGGGCCTGGGTGCTGTCCCTCAGCTCTTCAGCTCAAGGCTAGCGCTCTACCACTGGAGCCACAGCGCCACTTAGGGCTTTTTCTGCTTATGTGGTGCTGAGGAATCGAACCCAAGGCCTTATGCATGCAAGGCAAACACTCTACCACTGAGCCACTTTCCCAGCCCCTGCTTTTTTTTTGGGGGGGGGGAGTCCAGTCGTGGAGCCTAACCTTTGGGCCTGGGCCCTGTCCCTCAGCTCTTCAGCTCAAGGCTAGTGCGCTACCACTTGAGCCACAGCGCCACTTCCGGCTTTTTTTTTTCTGCTTATGTGGTGCTGAGGAATCGAACCCAGGGCCTCATACATGCAAGGCAAGCACTCTACCACTGAGCCACCTTCCCAGCCCCTGCTTGTTATTTTAGAGATCGTGTTTCTCAGATTTCTCTGTCTCTAACTGGCTTCAAGTCATGATCCTGTGGATCTAAGCCGGAGCTTAGATCTATAGATAGGATTGCAGGCTAATAGTGCCAGGCTCCTGTTTTTCTTTGGGTGAAGAGAATCATAGGCTCTAACTTCAGTAACTCCAGGGTGCATTGAGATAACAAGGAGTTTTGGCAGTGTTTTTCAGTACTATGGAGGATTTAGAAGTTGTTTATTTTCATACCCACTGTACTACATTTTCTATTGTCCTGTTGAGTAATTTCTGACCTAATGTATGATGTTTTCTCTGGCACATCTGACTACATCATTTGGCTTTTTCCTTTTTTCTTTTGGCTGATCCTAGGGCTTGAACTCAGGGCCTGGACGCTGTCCCTCAACTTTTTTTTTTTCCTCAAGACTAATGCTCTACCACTTGAGCCATAACTCCACTTCTGGCTTTTATGGTAGTTTACTTGGATGTAAGGGTCTCATAGACTTTACTACCTGGCCTGACTTTGAACGCTCTTCCTTAAATCTTAGCCTCCTGAGTAGCTAGGATTACAGACATGAGCCACCAGTGCCAGGCATTCATTTGTTTTTTAAGACCTTGTGTCCTGTTGTTCCTATGAGGATAATATTTTGTTTCTATTAAAGTTAAAGATTCTGTAGTAGGGATGGAAAAAAATTCCTGAGCCTACTGCTTTATGGAAAATTGATTATTGGAAATAGAGTGCTTGTATGGAACACAACCTTTCTTATCTCTGGTAAAATGCTGCCATGTATACTGTAACCCCTTTCCTCTTGAGCCTAGCTTTTATAAAATAGCCTCCTTTTCTTATTTTTTCTCTTCTCTTCTTTGCTTTGGTGCCAGTTCTGGAGCTTGAACTCAGGACCTTGGAGCTGTCTCTGAGCATTTTTGCTCAAGGCTAGCACTTGAGCCACAGCTTCACTTCTAGCCTTTTGTTGGTTAATCAGATATAAGAGTCTCTCAGTGGCTCATGCCTGTAATTCTAGTTACTCCACGATGAAATCTTGAGGCCCACAATTTGAAACCATCCCAGGCAGGAAAGCCTGTGATACTCTTTATCTCCAATTAACTACCATAAAAGCCAGAAATAGTGCTGTAGCTTAAGTGCTAGAGTACTAGCCTTGAGCACAATAGCTCAAGGACAGTCCTCAGGTCCTGAGTTACAGCCCAAGGACTGATACAAAAAAAAAAAAAAAATCATGGGCTGGGAAGGTGGCTCAGTGGTAGAGCGCTTGCCTCGCATGCATGAGGCCCTGGGTTCAATTCCTCAGCACCACATACGCAGAAAAAGCTGGAAGTGGCACTGTGGCTCAAGTGGTAGTGTTGGGCTTGAGCTGAAGAGCTGAGGGTCAGCATGCAGGCCAGAGTTCAGGCCCCACAACCAACCAAAAAAAAAAAAAAAATCATGGACTTCGCTGCCCAGGCTGGCTTGATACTGAGATCCTCAGATCAGCCTAAGTAACAATGATTGCAGGCATGAGCCACTGGCTTCCTGCTAATAGTTTCTTTTTCTGTGTTTATCCTTGCTTACAGCTGGTTCTCTGCCACTTGAGCCATGCCTCCAGTTCAGCATTTTGGTGGTTAAATGTCTTTTTTTTTGGATCCGGTCGTGGGACCTGAACTCTGGGCCTGGGCGCTGTCCCTCAGCTCTTCAGCTCAAGGCTAGCGCTCTACCACTTGAGCCACAGTGCCACTTCCAGCTTTTTTTTTGCTTATGTGGTGCTGAGGAATGGAACCCAGGGCCTCAGGCATGCAAGGCAAGCGCTCTACCACTGAGCCACCTTCCCAGCCCCCCTGGTGGTTAAATGTCTTATGGACTTCTCTGGCTGACTTTAAACTCAGTCCTCCAGGTCTTAGCCCCTGAGTAACTAAGACTATACAGATGAGCCACTAGTGTAAAACTAAAATAGTCTCCTACTTTATTGCCTTTTGCAAGTTTGAGTATGGCATGACTTCTTTTTTTTAAATTGTTATTATTTTATTTATTTATTTATTTTGGGTCCGGTTATGGGGCCTGAACTCTGGGCCTGGGCGCTGTCCCTCAGCTCTTCAGCTCAAGGCTCTAGCGCTCTACCACTTGAGCCACAGCGCCACTTCCGGCTTTTTTCTGTTTACTTATGTGGTGCTAAGGAATCGAACTCAGGGCCTCATGCATGCAAGGCAAGCACTCTACCACTGAGCCACCTTCCCAGCCCCTAAAATTGTTATTATAAAGGTAAAATAGAAAGGGTTTATAGTTATATAAGTCAGGTGATAAGTACATTTATTTTTATCACCCTTCCCTTGCTCTCCCAGTTTTTCCTCCTGTGGCATGACTTCTAGCAGGAATTATTTACAAGAGAACTGGGAACCCATATAGACACAAATTGTGTTTGTTGGTTGCTTTCTGGTGTGGCCATTTTTCACTGTACTCATTTTCTTACACTTGGTTGTAGGTGAGATTGCCATTCTTGGTGGGATAGAAGAACAGAATGAAAAACTGTGGAGCTTTGCCAAAAAGGCTTCCCACATCCAGTTGGACAGGTAAAAGAGTTTGTCCTTGGGACATAGGTTTAAGTGTTTCAGTAATGTCTCCTTTTTTTCCCAAGATGAAAGGAATATATTTTTTCAAATTTTTTTTTTGGTCAGTCATGGGCTTGAACTCTGGACCTGTCCCTCAGCTCTGCAGATAAGAGCTTCATCCTTGAGCCGGGCACCGGTGGCTCTCGCCTGTAATCCTAGCTACTCAAGAGGCTGAGATCTGAGGATCACAGTTCAAAGCCAGCCTGGGCAGGAAAGTCCGTGAGACTCTTATCTCCAATAAACCATCAGAAAGCCAGAAGTGGCACTGTGGCTCAAGCGGTAGAGTGCTTGCCTTGAGCTGAAGAGCTGAAGGACAGCGCCCAAGCCCAGAGTTCAAGCCCCACGACCGACCAAAAAAAAAAAAAAAAGTTGCATCCTGCCCGGACTGGCTTTGAATAGTGATCCTAAGTCTCAGCCTCCTGAGTAGCTAGGATTACAGGCGTGAGCCACTGGATCCCAGCTTATTTTTTCAAGTTTTTACCCTTGGGTATCGCTGTGAAATAGTTGTGATTATAATCTTTGGCAGTGTTATTACAGATCTTTTTCAGCTCCAATGTATTAGAGGAATGTGGAGACACGATTTTTTCATATAGTCTAGGCTCCAGGCTGGCCTTGAGATTGTAATCTTCCTGTCTGAACCTCCGGAATGCTAGGATTATAGGCATGCACTATGATTCCTAAATTCCAATGATCTTATATAACATATAGATTATATATAATTAACCAGGGGCTGGGAAGGTGGCTCAGTGGTAGACCGCTTGCCTTGCATCCATGAGGCCCTGGGTTTGACTCCCCAGCACCACATAAGCAAAAAGGAAAAAGCCGGAAGTGGCGCTCTGGCTCAAGTGGTAGAGCACTAGCCTTGAGCTGAATAGAGCTGAGGGACAGTGCCTAGGCCCAGAGTTCAGGCCCCACGACCGGACCCAAAAAATAAAACAAATAAAAATAATAATAATTAGCCAGGTGCCAGTGGCTCATGCCTGTAATCCTAGCTACTCAGGAGGCTGAGATCTGAGGTCATGGTTCAAAGTCAGCGAGGACAGGAAAATCTATGAGCCTTTTTTTTTTTTTTTAATTGTGAAAATACCGTATAGAGGGGTTAAATTACATGGGCAAGATAAGGAGTACATTTCTTTTTTGGGCGCTGTCCCTCAGCTTTCAGCTCAAGGATAGCGCTCTACCACTTGAGCCACAGCACCACTTCCGGCTTTTTTTCTTTTTGCTTATGTGGTGCTGGGGAGTCAAACCCAGGGCCTCATGGATGCAAGGCAAGCGGTCTACCACTGAGCCACCTTCCCAGGCCCCTCCGTGAGACTCTTATCTCCAATAAAAACCCCTAGAAAACCACAAGTGGCACTGTAGCTCAAGGGGTAGAGTGCTCACCTTGAACTGAAGAGCGCAGGGACAGTGCCGAAGCCCAGAGATCAAGCCCCACAACCAACCAAAAAAATAAAAAGATTATATATATAACATAAAGATTAAACCCCCATACTCTTTTCTGGGGGAATTCAGGATCCTTCTAACATGTAACTGACCTAAAGTATGTTTTCAACTCTTTGAGTTAAAAGTCTCTTAAATACATGTGCTTTGTTTCCTCAGCCTACCAGAAGTGCCTTTACTGGTTGATGTGCCATGTTTATCTGCTCAGTTGGATGATTCAGTTCTTAACATAGTGAAAGACCACATTTTTAAGCATGGGACAGTAGCATCTCGCCCACCAGTACAGATAGAAGAACTAATAGAAAAACCTGGAGGCATCATAGTTCGGTGGTGTAAGGTATGTAATTCAGAATTGCAGAAGTAGGAGAAGTAGATGGAGGTGTGGCTAAAATGATAGAGCCCCAGCTGTGTAAGCCAAGGCTAATACCAACCACTAAAAATAAAAGGAAAATAGTAATGGTGCGTTTCTTTTGGTCTTCTCTATCTAGTATAGCCCATATTCAGTTCATGGGCCTATGTGGTTGGTCCAGAATGTTTCTACTTGTCCTCTAGTTTTTACTTAACAGAAAACCTTTCTTTTTAGGTGGATGATGACTTTACAGCCCAAGATTACAGGCTCCAGTTTCGTAAATGCACTTCAAATCATTTTGAAGATGTCTATGTAGGTTCTGAAACTGAATTCATAGTATTGCACATAGACCCCAATGTCGATTACCAGTTCAGAGTCTGTGCCCGTGGAGATGGCCGGCAAGAGTGGAGTCCTTGGAGTGTCCCCCAGATAGGCCATTCCACACTGGTGCCACACGGTATGCTGTTCTCTTCCCATTGATGGAGCTTACTTATGTTTAGAAACATTTATATTCTGTGCTACAAGTAGCAGGCTGAGCAGTTTATTCTTCAGGGTAAGTCCTGAACTGGTGAGAAGAATATGAATCATGTTTCTTTCTAACTACTTCATGTAAATTTGGTCTTCATCAGTTCTTAACTTTAGAGTTCAAAACTAATGCTGGAGGGACTGGGAATGTGGCTGAAAGGTTGAGTGCTTGCCTAGCATGCATGAAGCCCTGGGTTCGATTTCTCAGTACCACATAAACAGAAAAAGTCAGAAGTGGTGCTGTGGCTCAAGTGGTAGAACACTAGCCTTGAGCAAAAGAAGCTCAGGGACAGTGCCCAAGCCCTGAGTTCAAACCCTAGTACTTGCAAAAATAACAACTAATGCTAGATAGATTCTTAGCATAACATAAAACTAAGATTGAAAATACTGCATAGGACACTGATTTTTTTTTCCAAACCCTCAGTAATGTGGCTAGAGGAGTTTACGTAAAAGCATTTTTGTTTGTTTTTTTGTTGGTCATGGGGCTTGAACTTCCGGGCCTGGGCACTGTCCCTCAGCTCTTCAGCTCAAGGCTAGCACTCTACCACTTGAGCCACAGTGCCACTTCTGGCTTTTTTGTTTCTGTTTATGTGGTGCTAAGGAATCAAACCCAGGGCCTTAGGCGTGCAAGGCAAGCGCTCTACCACTGAGCCACCTTCCCAGCCCTACTTAAAAGTTTTAATGTTTAAAATTAGTCTCTCTCCTTCAGTTTATTCCCGTTTCAGCTTCTTAGTTAGCTGAAACTAAGATATCTGCCACACACCTGGCTACATATTAATTATTTATTTTAATGTGGTATGGGGATTTGAACCCAGGGCCTTGTGCATATGTAGCATGCTCCACTCTAGTTCAGACAAATTTGAACCATGATTTTACTAGCTGGGAGGTAATAGTTGTTTGATTTTCCATTCTAGAATTATGTGCTAATATACTAAACAGTTTTTTGTAATGTGTGGGACAAACTATGGGACCCTGTTACTGAATATTCTGTTTTGTTAAACATAGACAGGGTTAACATCTATGATAGTCACTTTCACTTCTCCATTCTATTTAATGTGTCTGCGTTGAAGTTATCACTGAAAAGATTCTAATAATGTTGAATATATTTGCTTTTAAAAAGAGTGGACAGCTGGCTTTGAGGGGTACAGTCTGAGCAGTCGAAGAAATATAGCCCTCCGGAATGATTCAGAATCGTCTGGTGTTCTGTACTCAAGCGCTCCAACCTACTTCTGTGGGCAGACCTTGACATTCAGGCAAGTGGATTTAGCCATGTGTGTAAAGAATGCAGAAGCTAGATTTAAAATGTCCTAGGCCAGGTGCCGGTGGCTCACCCCTATAATCCTAGCTACTTAGGAGGCTGAGATCAGGAGTCTGGGCAGCAAAAGTGGTGAAACTCTTATCTCCAATAAACCACCAGAAAACGGGAAGTGGCATTGTGGCTTAAGTGATAGAGTGCTAGCCTTTAGCTGAAAATCTGAGGGACAGCACCCAGGCCAGAGTTCAAACCCCATGACCGACAAAAAATAAATAAATAATAAAATAAAATGTCCTAAGTTCATTCCATCCTTTACAAACAGTGTTACTTTGGGAAGTTCTATGTATATCAGTTTTCATAATGCTATTTGAAGATGAATTAAGATGATGTATAGAAAACACTTGTACTCAGTATGTTTAGCTCTCTTGATAAATTGAGGTAAAAAGATTATCTCATTTAAAAACAAAAAGATGATTTCATAATCAGGCTCATACCTGAGATCAGGAGGCATCTCAGGAGGCTGAGATCTGAGGATGGTGATTTGAAGCCAACCCAGGCAAGGAAGTCTGTGATATTCCAATTAAAAAAAAAAAAAAGCCCCAAGCACAGAAGCAGAGCTGTGGCTCAGGTGGCAGAGATCTACCCTTGAGCAAGCTCTCAAAGCTGGGGGCTAGGGGCTCACACCTTTAATCCTAGGTACTCAGGATGCTGAGATCTGAGGATCTTCAATTTGAAGCCAGTCCCTGCAGGAAAGTCTGAGATTCCTATCTGTAGTTTACCAGTAGAAAGCTGGAGGTGCTGCTTGAAGCTAAAGTGATAAAGTGCTAGCCTTGAGCAAAAGAATTAAGGAACAATACCCAGGTCCTGAGTTCAAGCCCCAGGATGGACCACTGGCTAGAGGAAAACAACAATATTAGCTTGAATAAAACTTTCAGATTGGGCTGGGAAGGTGGCTCAGTGGTAGAGCGCTTGCCTTGCATGCTCAAGGCCCTGGGTTCGATTCCTTAGCACCACATAAGCAAACAGAAAAAAGCCAGAAGTGGCGCTGTGGTTCAAGTGGTAGAGCGCTAGCCTTGAACTGAAGAGCTGAGGGACAGCGCCCAGGCCCAGAGTTCAGGCCCCATGACCGGACCCAAAAACAAACAAACAAACAAAAAAAAAAAACTTTCAGATATTCTCCGTGCCTCCTCTAACAAGAGACTAAGAAGAGCAAGAACTTGGGATTAACACTCAGCAAAATTCTATCAGCAGAGTTTGTTACGCTGGGCTGAGCATAGTGAAAACCAGGCAAGCATTGAATCGTTTACAGTTGTCAGACCACATTAATTTGTGCTCTGTCTCACTTTGTATATCTCACCTCACCCTTTGTGGGGTTTCTTTGTTTTGGTTTTGGTTCCTTGTGGGGTTGAACTCTGGGCCTGGGCACTGTTGCTCAAGGTGCGCACTCTACCACTTGAGCCAAGTGCCACTTGCAGTTTTCTGGTAGTTAATTGGAGATAAGAGAGTCTCACAGACTTTTCTGCCTAGGCTGGCTTTGAACCATGATTCTCAGATCTCAGACTCCTGAGTATCTAGGATTACAGGTGTGAACCACCGGGGCCCAGCCCCCTCGTATTATTTTTTTTATTTTTATTTTTGGTTGGCCGTGGGGCTTGAACTCTGGGCCTGGGTGCTGTCCCTCAGCTCTTCAGCTCAAGGCGAGCGCTCTACCACTTGAGCTACAGTTCCACTTCCGGTTTTCTGGTGGTTTATTGGAGATAGGAGTCTCACGGTCTCTCTGCCCGGGCTGGCTTTGAACCGCGATCCTCAGATCTCAGCCTCCTGAGTAGCTAGGATTACAGGCATGAGCCACCAGCACCCGGCCTCGTGTTATTTTTTTTTTTTAATGACTTAACCAGAAAAATATGTCTGTGTCTCTTGCTTAAACAATACTGTCATTAAGGAATCTCCTGGGAAGGGACATGGATTGATTTCAGTCCACAGCTTAACCATGCTGGCTGTAGCCTGACACTGGGAGCCTTAGTGAACTATTTGCTCTTCTGCCTTTGAAGAAGTTTGACTGGCCCACTTGGCAGAGCAGCTAACTGAAACTCAGTTGATCTCAGTATTCTTAGCTACACTTCGCATTTTTGTCATTTTTTTTTCCCCCATGAGCATGGAATGAAATTATTTTCTTCCTTTAAAGGCAGGAGCAGTTAAGTGAGAAGATGGGGGTGGGAAGGGCAGGTAGGCCCACCTGAATAAAGATAAACTTTATTTAGTTGCTTTAAGGGTACTTGGAAGGATGACTGTACTCTGTAAGTACTACTTTGCTTAGCTATTTTGTGTTTGCTGAAGTTTCTGGAAGGCTTATAGCAGCTAAAGCCAGAAAATTTGTGTTCCTAGCTCTGTGTGTGTGTGTGTGTGTGTGTGTGCGTGCGCGTGTGCGTGCGTGCGTGCGTGTGTATTCGTATTCTTTCAGTACTTGTAAAAAGGGGTTACCATTCAACAAATTAGTTTATAAATCTAATGCATTTTTTTAACCCCCATTCCTGGGGCTTGAGTACTGTCCCTGAGCTTCTTTTGCTCAGGGCTAGCATTGTACAACATGAACCACAGTGCCACTTCTGGCCTTTTCTGTTTATGTGGTACTGAAGAATCTAACCCAGGGCTTCTTGCATTCTGGGCAAACACTCTGCCACTAAGCCACATTCTCAGCCTCCTGGCTAGATCTTAACAGTCCTTGTCTGCATCTTTTGGCAACTCCCTTTTATTTTATCTCCCTGATTTCTTTCTGAATGTTCCTTTCTCTCTTTGCTTCTAACTTTTCCTGGTCTTACTTTTTAGTAAAATTTTATTGCCCTCCCCCCTTTTTCCTTTGTTTTGTGCTGGTCCTAGGGATTGAACTCAGGGACAGGACCCTGGCCCTGAGCTTTTTTGCTCAAGGCTAGCACTTTACCCCTTAGCCATAGTTCTGATCTTGCTGTTTGATAGTTCATTGGAGTCTCACAGGCTTTTCTGCCCAGGCTAGCTTCAGTCCTCAGATCTCAGCCTCTTATGTAGCTAAGATTACAGGTGTGAACCACCAGTACCTGGCAGAAGTTAATTTTTTATTTATCTATTTATTTTGCCAGTCCTGGGGCTTGGACTCAGGGCCTGGACACTGTCCCTGAGCTTCTTTTTGTTCATGTCTACCACTTGAGCCACAGCACCATTTCCCTTTTTTTCTGTTTATGTGGTACTACTGAGGAATCAAACCCAGGGCTTCATGCATGCTAGGCAAGCACTCTACCACTAAGCCACATCCCCAGCCCCAGAAGTTAATTTTTAAGTATAATTTAAGTGTTATTATTAAGGTATTATATAATGAGGTTACCACTTCATAAGTCAGGTAATGAGTGCATTTCTTTGTTTGGCCTTTTTTAGCTGCTTTTTTTTTTTTTTTTGGTCTTTTTTGGTACTGAGGATCCAATTCAGGAAATTGTACTTGCTTGACAAGTGCTTTGCCACTGAGCTACATCCCATATCATGAGTACAATGCTTTTTAGATAATAATTGTTTTTAACTACTGTCTTTGAAATCCTGTCAGTTCCTCTGATATCATAAAAGACATTGCACAGTCCCAGGAAAGTTGTAGATTAGCCGGAGTTTCATATTTTGCTTCTGTGACCCTCGCAAGAGAAAGAGGGAGTAGGCCTTCCAGATTGACACTTGGCTCTATCACACACTTGGGGAATATCAGGCAGAAACATTTTCCCTACAGTGTTCATTATAGCCTTGTATAAGATCAGCCAGCTGCTTGGTGAAGTACATTAGGATTCTACACCTTAGCTTTTTGTTTATTTGTTAATACTTGCAGGCAGGTGTTCGTTCACACGTAATGAATATTCCTTCCAAAGAATATTTCTTTTTTTAAAATAATTTTATTGAGATTAACTGATTACATAAATTCCACATATTTCATAGTATTGTGAGATAGTGGTACTTAGTTAAAGTCACAAACACATTCTAACCTTCACAAGGCAAATTGGCATCATCATGGTCTATAGAGTTTGTGTTGTTTTTTTTTTTGAGTCCGGTCGTGGGGCCTGACTGAACTCTGGGCCTGGGCGCTGTCCCTCAGTTCTTCAGCTCAAGGCTAGCTCTCTACCACTTGAGCCACAGCACCACTTCCGGCTTTTTCTTTTTGTTTATGTGGTGCTGAGGAATTGAACCCAGGGCCTCAGGCATGCAAGGCAAGCGCTCTACCACTGAGCCACCTTCCCAGCCCTACAGTTTGTGAAATCTATGAGCCTTGACAGTACAGCTATTTCTTCCACATCGGGTACATGTACATTTCTTTCCTTTTGCGCAGTGTCAGCTGTTCCCGCTTTCCCTTTCGTTCTCTCCCTCTCATCGCTGCTCTTAAGTTGCTTAGTTCATTTCCATCAATGTCCAGTGCAGCTGATGGATCTAGCTTTTGTTTGTTTTCCCCTGTTTCCTCAGTTTCTGTGTCCTCCTCCTAGTCAAGGAATATTTCTTAAAGTTTTCTCCCTCTGTATTCTGCTTTAAAATTACTTTGCCAAAATATAAGGCAATTTTTCTGATGAACTTCAATCTTTTCTCTTTCAATGAGGCTAAACATTTCATTGATTTTTATCCATGCAATGGGTACTTTAGGTGATATGATTTTGTCGGTTGTGGTCCTGGGCGCTGTCTCTCAGCTCTTCAGCTCAAGGCTAGCACTCTACCACTTGAGCCACAGCGCCACTTCTGGCTTTTTCTGCCTATGTTGTGCTGAGAAATCAAACCCAGGGCCTCATGCATGCAAGGCAAGTAAGTACTCTACCACTGAGCTACCTTCCCAGCCAGGTAATGCAAAAGTTAAGAAAGAAAAGGCCAAAGCCAGGCATGATGTTACAGGTCTATTAATCCAGAATTTAGGAATGGAGACAGGACAATTTTAAGTTTGAGACCAGCCTGATTTCTTTAGCAAGACTGTGTGTCAAAAAAGTCAAGGGGTAAAGATGTGACTCAATG